CACAGGAAATAGACGAGCCAGTCAGGGTGCAGTATGCACTGATAAAACACACAACTTTCATCTAGTTCTTTAATGCTTCCTCCTCACCCCCACCCCCTTACACTGTCATGATGTATCTTACAAATCTGGCTAGATCAGAGCTTGTACACTGGTACAGACAAGAGCTCGCAGCACAGGGAATCCAGGACAGATAAACCTCTCAGGACCAACAATGAGAGTAGTGATAACAGGAGGGGAAGGGGAGGGTGGGGATGGGGGGGCAAAAGGGAGACCTGATCACAATGATCAACATATAACACCCCCCCCTCCAGGGGGATGGACAACAGAAAACTGGAAGAAGGGAGACATCTGTCAGTGTAAGACATGAAAAAATAACAATAATTTATAAATTATCAAGGGTTCATGAGGGGGGCGGGTGGGGTAGGAGGGGGCAAAAATGAGGAGCTGATACCAAGGGCTCCAGTAGAAAGAAAATGCTTTGAAAATGATGATGGCAACATTTGTACAAATGTGCTTGACACAATGGATGGATGTAATACACCTAGTATGTATAAATTATCTATTTATACATCTAGTATGTATAGATAGTATGTGTCTAGTACGTATGGATTGTGATAAGAGCTGTAAGAGCCCCCAATAAAATGATTTTTTTAAGGAAAATACTTTGTTTTTTTAATTTTATTTTGGGGTACCCCTCGCATATTCTTTGATGAGGTCTTGTAAAATATTTTACCTATTTTCAAATTGAGTTGTTTCTTTTGTTAATTATTGAGTTCTGAAAGTACTTTATATATTCTGGAGACAAGTTTTGTCTTAGAGGAATGCTTTATAAACATCTCCTTGTCTGGGACTTACTTCTCTTTTCTTAGCAGTAAATTACAAGAAATAGGTGATTTAAACTTTGTTGCAGTTCAATTTATTACTTTTTGGTACATGATTGCTTAATAATCCAAGGTCACACAAAAAAATTTTGCTGCATGCTAAATATAGAATTATAAATGTGAACATATATTTTCCTTTTGAAATTTTTCTCCTTTTTTTAGTTTGTAGGTTAGGTGTATGATCCATTAAAATTACTTTTTTTTTCTTTTCAAAAAAGTCATTTTATTGGGGGCTCTCACAGCTCTTATAACATTCCATACATCAATTGTATCAAGCATATTTGTACAGATGTTGCCATCATCCTTTCCAAAACATTTTTTATCAAGTTACTATTTTGTAAATAAGCATCAAGGCCTTTCTTGCATAAGAGATTATTCGGTACCATTTGCTGAAATTACTATGCCTTCTTCATTGGATTACCTTGACACCATTGTTGATATCAGTTGACTATAAACGTTTAGAGTATTCAGTTTTTTAAAGGCCCCCAAACCTTAAAATCCCAGTTAATAAAAACCATCTTACTTCACCTCTTCACAGCCATTTAGTACATTGTAGTTTAAACTCGCTTTTTCTACTTCTTCATTTCCTGCTCCTTACATTGACTCCTTAGTTATCCAGTGCCTCTGTAACAGAAATCCTGCAAGTGACTGGTCTTAGTCAACCAGTGCATTTGTTTCCCTGACGACTGCAAGTCCAAGTTCAGAGCACTGCCTTTGAGGGCATGCTGGCTCTGTCAGCTCTAGAGGAAGGGTTCTTTTCCTCAGTCTTCTGGCTCCAGGAGGCTCACAGTACAGGCACCCTGGGTCCAAAAGACTAGCTCTGCACCTGAATCTTCTTTCTTGTTGATAGTAGATCCCTCTCCTCTGCTTGTTTCTCTTGCCTTTTATCTCTTGTTAAATAAGAGGTGCTGAGAGGCACACCTCCAAGGAAGCGCTTCCTGTGTCAGATCAGGGTGTGGGGTCCCATCCTGGTCCCCGGACCATTGAGTGACTGATCACATCAGAGCATCTCATTGTAGATGATTGCCTCACCGCACAACCGCCAAACCACTGAGAGCCACAGCCCAGCCAAACTGACAGATAATTTTGAGGTACACAATTCAGTCCATTTTAAACTACAATTCCATTAAAGAGTTTTTCCCAGAATCCATGTTCCAAGATCCAGTGGACACTGTTTCATCCCTGTCTTCTGTGGCCCTGTCTCAGTAGTCATGGACCTTGTTGATCTCACTCTCCTCTTTCAGACACGCGCTTTTCTTCATTAATGCAGGATCCCATTACCCTCAGGGTTCTGTTTGTCCCAGTATATCTACTTTGCTCGGGTTTTTTGCCCATTTCTTAAATATTGGCACCTCTCAGGATTTTGACCAAAGTCCTTTTTGTTCTCATTCTAGGTACATTCTCTCCTTATTCCATCCATTACCCAGACTGAAGAATCTCAAAATTACATCAAACTCAAATCTTTTCCCAGTTTTTTCCTGTATATGTCACTATCCACCAAGGCCTTACTTACGTTCTATGAAGACAAATACTTTCTATATCTTGTTCACATTTGCCTTCTCGTGTCTTGCACAAAATCAGAGTCAATAACTATTTCTTGAATGACTGAACAAGTTACTGTTGGAACAAATTAATCAACTTATGTAGTTGCTATTGTAGCATATCTTATCATTCAAATATAGTACTTTAATGTTAGAAATACACGGTAGTATGTGAGTACTTTGTTGAGGGCACAAGAGAAGTAAATTACTTTTAGAGCACTTCGTTTCTTCCATGGCTCCTTTTTTCGATTACACTTGGTAAAAAAGCTTGAGATGAGAAAAATAGGGTTGATATCCTGGGCAGGGGCAGGACGGCCACGAGAGAGCAAGGAGGCATTTGTCCAAATACAACTTCTCCACGTGCTACAAACTTTTATTAAAACAACAGCAACAAGACAAACTATTTTTGTTATCATTGTATTTGTTTGTTTAGTCCCTTAGTTTCCTTCAAGAATTATCTATATTTTGGGAAATAAAATATTTTTCAGGCTCTATCAAACTCTGAATTCGGTTTAGAGTTTATATGTGTGAAATAATGTATTTTTTTCTCTTTATTCACCCAAGTTTTTATAACATTTTTCTTCTTCGCCCTTACATGGTTCATTTAACAGGAAGATGTAAATTTTGTAATGTTGATTCCCTCATCTGCAGTTTGATGGGTATCTTAGAATTCATCTGAGTGCCCACATCAAAGGATGTACGAGGAGGCTGCAAAAAGTTTGTGGGGGGGGGGAAAGGCCACTGTCTTTCCATTCCATTTCCCATCAACTTTTTGAAGCTCCCTCATGTGTACGTGTGTTACAAGCATGTCCCTTGGGGGAGGAGCATTGGAGAGAAATACAAGACGCAGTCCTCGTTGCTGCCCTCGGAGGGCACGCCTTCTGGGAGATTAGGCACGCACCGCCAGCCAGTGCCCAGCAGCACCTGTCAGTCAGCCAGGAGTGACCACTTGGTGTTACTGAGCAAGGAAGAGAGGATCGTCCCACCCAACGTGTGCCTTTGGTCTTGCCTGTCACTGCAAGCCATTCTGTAGGTGTTTAGGGCTTCTCTGCAGATGCCCTGTTTATTGGTTGTGGAGCGTGTGGCCTTTACATTTCTCTGTCTCTCTCTCTCTCTCTCCTACGTTTCAGTGAGCGGTTTCTGGTGAGACTGAACAAGAATGGTGGGCCAAGGAACCCAGAGAAGATAGAACGAATGTGTGCCCTTTTTACAGTATGTGCAAATTCTCTTTCCCTTCTCTGCTGTTGACTCTGACTGAGGCCTGCTATGTGGATCGTATCACCCTGGAAATGACTGTTTATCCTTATTTCTCCACATGCTGGAGAGAATAGCACTTGATTTATGTTCCTCTCGGGTTTCAATGAAATATTTAAAGAAAACTGAAATCAACTGCGGGTTCTAATTACATTTTTTATTAAACAGATACAATCAAGTGCCCCTTACTGATGCTGATATTAGAAGCTGTTGCACGCAGTAGATACTTAGAATCTCTGCAAGGGTTTCTTATATTCTTAACCCAAGGCCCCTGGGAATTTCTTTTTATCTGTAAATATAGTGTCTCTCAAAATATCTGCCAAATGTAGAGGTTTGCAGTTTGTTTCATGCAGATAAAGTGGGACAAACTAAATAGTCCTTCTCCCAATAAAAACGGCAGGGGGGTCTTCATCTGCTGTTGCCTGTGATACCGGAGTTTTATCGTAGCTCTCAGGAGGTCTGGGGTTTCGCTTATTGGAACGTTCTAAACTTCACAAGAAACATCGTGCCGTGTCTTTAAGTCCAAGTGGACTCGGATTTTTTTTTTCACCCAGTTAGAAAATGGTCTGACTTTATTGATTTGCATTAATTTAGTTTTTGAAGAAGGAAACAAGAATGTGGCACAATCCTAAACCAGTGTTGACTCTTGTGCCTGACTTTGTGACTGCTTCAACGACACTGAGCTACGTCCTCACCATTCAGTGCAGGGGGCTGTGTGCGCCACGTGACAGATGGCCGCTGACCGTGTGCCTGCCTCTTAAATAGAAATGGAATCTATCTGGGGATCTAATAGATGACCTTATCTGAAAGATAAGACTGTATTTGTTCACCTGGCTTTTCAGTTCTTAATAGTCTACCTTTTATCTTTCAAAATGTCAACGGATATAACTGGAGAGTGAGAAATTGCCTTCACAGGGCTAGGCTTTAGTACAACACCTCAGGTATGCAGAAAGATTGACTTGTAAGCCTGGCTTAAGTAAGATGATGCTGGTGTCAGTCTGAGCTCAGGCTTCAAGCTTCGGAGATGACACACGAAGACAGAGGGAAACTGACCCCTGAAGATAGTCAGGAAGGTTGAATCTGGTGAGAGACAGTGGATCAATGCGCTTCCTTTTCAGTGGGAAATAGTCCGGACTGCAGTTAATGAGATTTAAGTTAGAGGATGAGCTGTTTCTGTGTGGGAGAACGTGAACCCTGGGGAGTCCTCTGGGAGCTGTAGGGCTTCCTATCTGGGCAGTTAGAGCTGAGACTTCCATGTGCTCAGAAAGTGACCTAGGAGGGGACCCTCGGTTCCGAGCCTCTGACCTCGTCTGGGGAAGCAGAGACAGATCGCTGACGCCGTGCTCTTTGCCATGTTGGCATCAGAGTTGTGTGCGTGTGCTGTTGTTGAATATGAGTACAGCCCTTACGTTACGAAAAATGAACGTAATTCTGGGCATTTCAATATACTTACAGTGAATCCAAACTTTCAGTTAGCAGTATGTTAATTACCTGTATGGACCCCCCACCCCCACCCCCCGGCTTAAGTCAGCGTGGCCCCGATTTCATAAACCCAAGCTGCACGTGCCACTCACTCTGTGCTCTTGTCCTGCCCTGTGGGACGTACGGGGCTACCGAGCGCCCTGCTTCCATCCTTTCCCTTTGAGCAGGACTGCCCTGGACTGCCAAGGGCCCCAACGTGATGGGAGGCATTTTGCCAAAAGCGCAAGAGCTATTTTAACGAGTGCCAGATTTTTCTTATTTTACTTTGAGCTGTAGAAGATAATTTTGGTGAAATCTGTTGGGTTGTTTTTGTTTTTGTTCATAATCATAAAACTTTGAGCTTCTTCTGTCAGCCGCAGACGTTACCCAGGTTGTCTGAAGAGTTAGAGTCTCAGGGTAAATCCGAACGATGCAGCGCAGCCATGGTCCAGGCCGACATGTCGGCTGACTTTCACTCTGTAAGTGGAGACCGTGCAGTCCCCGCTGTTTGGAGGACTCTTACCCACAGACGTCCCCGCCAGGTGACAGACAGCCCTGTTCTCTGGAGAGCCTGGTCTTCCTGCCGTGCTAGACGTCAGCCCTTCCTCGAGGAGCCCAGGTGCCGAGCAGATTGCATGACGGGGCTGCCCGCTGCCAGTCGGCTCGGTCCAGCCCTTCAGAGACAGGAGGCTTTCTGCTCCGTGGCCAGGCCAGCCTGGGAAACCCGCAGGACACGTTTCCCCTGCTCTGCAGGCTTGTTGGAGGGAGCCCTGGGGGAGCAGCGGTTACATCTTGGGCTCTAAACACAAAGTCCGCAGTTGGAGACCAGCAGCCTCCCCTCAGGAGGAGGAGGAGGGGGAGGCTTTCTTCTCCTATGAAGAGTGACAACCCCAGAAACTCAGAGGCGCAGCTCTACCCTGACCTACAGGGTCACTCTGAGTTAGAAACCTCCCGATGGCAGAGTTGTTGATTTTGTTTTTAACAGGGTTCCTATGAGTCAGGACTGACTCCATGGCAGTGAGTCTGGGTTTTGTTTTGTTTTTTTAATTTGTGAGTGAAGAATTATATCCAAGAAGAAATTGTTTTATACTTGCATGAGTGTCAGTACAGTGAAGTTTTTGTTGACTTTCGTAGGAAACAGCTACTGTGTACAGTTGTGATAGGAGCCCTGGTGGTGTAGTGGTTATGCCTTGGACTGCGGTCCCGATGGTCAGCAGTTCAAAACCACTCTGGAGAAAGACTGGGCTTTCTACTCCCATAAACAGTTACAGTCTTGGGACCCCAAAGGGGGCCAATGTGGGTCAGCATTGACTCAGTAGCAGTGAATCTGGTTTCGGTTTGGTGTGTAAGTGTGTGTGAATGATGGCATTACATGCATCTTGCTCATTACTAGATTCCCCAGAGCCTCACACAGTGCCCAGAAAATAACTAATATCTGAAATCCTTCATTACATAAATAAATGACTATTTGCTATTATAGTTCAGTGACTAACTTGAAGAACCTGTGCTGTTTCACTGGCATTCATTGGAGTTTTATTTTCCATATATATTTATGGCATTTCAAATTCCAACATAGGATTTGAGCTACCAATTTCTTGGAGTTAAGAACTGAAATTGATTATTACTACAGTAGCACCGTGTGCCCAATACTGCCTGATTTTGACAGCTTACGTTTGAGTGAGTTGGCTTTATTTTGTATTTGTAAATCCTATTATTCATATGCAAAAACAATAGACCAGTAACACAGAAATTGTCTTTTCCTGGTATCAGGTGGACCGTCAATAAATGGAGCCTGAAATTCAGACTCAGTTGCCTCCACTGTGTAGATGAGGACCATCTTTCCTCATATGGAGGATTGGGAAGGATTCGGTCCACAGAGTAAACCCAGTGTCTGCCATGCTCTCAGAATTAAAAACTTGCTCACGAGACTGGGGGGTCGGGGGGAGGTGGGGTGGTCATCTCTCTCTCCCTACTTCAGTTTTATAGGACTTGTACATATTTTTACATGGATGGCTACACTTGATACATAGCCCTGAAGAGCATATTTTTAATAACGCCATGTTAACTGTGTTAACCAGATGCTTAAATTTAATAAGGTGGCGTTGACATTGACTTTTACATCAGAAATCATGTGGAACTAACAAATAATAATTTTACTTAAATTATATTCTTGTACACCATATAAGTTCAATGTCATCCCAATACAAATACCAGCATCTTTTAAAAGAAGTGGAAAAACTGACCACCAACTTCGTATGGAGAGGGAAGAAGCCCAGAATTGGCAGAGAACTCCTCAAGAAGAAGAATACAGTGGGAGCGCTTGCATTACCTGACTGTAAAACTTGATATACAGCCACAGTTGTCCAAATAGGATAGGACCCATGGATAGGAGCAGAAAATCCAGAAATAAAAAGAGCAGCACACAGACAACTGATCTCTGGTAAGAGCCCAAAGAAATATCAAGTGGGAAGCAAATGCCCTGTTGAACAAATGGTGCTGGAAAGGCTGGATATCGACCTGCAGAAGAATGAAAGAAGATCCTTACCTCACCCCATACACAAGAACAAATTCAAGGTGGATCACAGACCCCAAACTCCCAGGACCATCAACGAGAAAATTGGGGCAAAACTAAGAACCTTAGTGCAGGGAACACATGGGCTATCGGAAATAATGAAGGGTGCACATTCAGAGAAAGATAAACTAGACAAGAAGACATGGACATACTGAAGCTAAAACACTTGTGTACATCAAAAGACTTCATCAAGAGGGTAATAGGAGAGCCCACAGACTGGAAAAGGACATTTAGCAGTGACACATCAGACAAAGGGCTTATTACTAAAATCTACAAAATTCTGCAAGTTTACAATAAGAAAAAAAAATGAACTGCCCACTCAGGAGGGCTGAAAGACCTGAATAGAAGATTCACAAGGAGGGAAACCTGACCAAAAGTGGCCAATCGGCATGTGAGAAAAACATTCCCGATCATTAGCTGTCTGGGAAGTGCAAATTAAAATAAGTATAAGATACCAGCTAACAGCCACAAAGATAGCCCAATTCAAAAAGTCAGAAAGCAACAGGTGTTGGAGGGGGTGTGGTGAGGTAGAAATCTGTTCCACTGCTGATGATCTTGTAGGTCTGACAGCCACTGCGGAAAGCAATTTGGCAATTCCTGAAACAGATGGAAATTGAGTTACCTTATGACCCAGAAATTCCACTACTGGGCATATACCAAGGAGAAATAATAAACAGACCACAACCAGACATCTGCACACCAGTGTGCATCTCTGCACAGTTCACAATTGCAAAGAATTGGAAACAGCCTAAGTTTCCATCAGCAGATGGGTGGATTCAAAAGCTCTAGTACATGCACACATGGAGCACTACACCTCCCTGAAAACAGTGATGGAGAGATGACGCTCCTCTCGTGGAAGGGGTTGGAGGGTGTCGTGCTGAGTGAAGTCAGGACAAGCACGACGTGAATCCACTGAGGTAAGTTT